TTCTTTTGGGAACATGCTTCTAACATTCTGAATACATGGCTTGATCATCTTAGTTGTGTTTTCAAGACCATCTCATTAACACTGGGCATTCTAGCCTGTTGCAGAACTTTTGTATCAGGGACTTTGTCTTGCCATCATATTCTCATTATTCATCTGAGACAGTTGAGATGAAAAGGGTTAAATTTCTTCAGATGGCAACTGTATGTTGTCCAAGACACACATGGGATGACTACAGCTTTACAGACTTTTAACTTGGTCTATAAACTGATGCCTCTTTGGTGCCAGAGGCATTTCTGGAGTCTTCCAAAAGCTGTGATTGCTTTAGTAATCCTGTTGGCACTTTCCTCATTGATGATAGTTTTCCTTTGACAGCATGTTCCCCAGGCAAGTAAACTTGTCTATTGCCTCGAGGACATGGTCTCCTATGGATTTTACTGGTGGGACACAGAATTTCCCTGATGCTGTTGGTAGAGAACTTCTGTGTGATTTTCAAGCTGATAGTTAGACCATAATGAGAGCATGCTGCAGTAAAATGGTTTATGATTAATTGCATGTCTTCCTAGGAGTAAGCCACTAAACCACAATCATTAGTCTTAGTGTGCAGTCTTCTGAGATTGAACAGATTTCTGTCAGTTCTAAACCTGATCCATACTTCAGTGTTGAAATCTGTGAAGACATCTAAAAGCATAGCCGCAAACATGACATTGAAGAGTTATGGTGCAAGAACACAGCACTGCTTTACAACACTTGTTATAGGAAAGGGCTTTGACATTTCACCATCCTCCAATATTATGGCCTTCATACCGTCACGGAACTGTCTGATCATAATGATGATTTTGTCTGGACAGCCAACTTTTGCCAAGATTTTCCACAGCTTTTCCCTGCTCACCACAAGGAATGCCTTGGTCAGGTCCATAAAGATGCAGCAGTGGTCAGTATTTTATTCTATGCACTTTTCCTGGATCTGTCTGGCTGCAAAAATCATGTCCATTGTTCTTCCTTTCCTAAAGCCACATTGACTGTCTGGTGTGAACTCTTCTACTATGTGTTATACAAAATGTTTCAGCACTATCCTGGTAAGTATCTTTCCAGTGATACGCTAGTGATTGTCATAGGTGTATTGATTTCTCTTTCCTCTCGTACAAATGGACAACTGAGGCATCTTTGTATTCCTGGGGGATCTTTTTCTGGAACCATATATGTTGTAGTGTCTATGTCAGGCAATGTACAAGAAAACCTTGACCAGCCTTGTATATTTCAGCTAGGGTTGTATCAGAACCAAGTGCTTTGCCATTGGACAACGCCTTCAAGTCTTTCTTAGTTTCAGTAACAGTGAGTTCCTGAGGGGAACTTCAATGAATGTATGCTGAGGGAGTTCATCAATAGTTTCACTGCTGATAGTTCATTCCCTGTTCAGTGGGTTGTTAAAGTGACCAGCCCATCTCTCTAGACTTTTGGTTTTGTCACTTAAGCCTATGGTTTCAGGATGTGTCCATTTGGCACTGCTCTCAAATGGAGAATGATACATAGTTCAACAATACTTACAATAACTCTGAGCTTTCTTAATGTATCTTCACAACTATTGAAAACAAAGAATATTATTCTAATTAACTATTTTGGAACAGGCATCATTTTGTGTGCATGTCAGGTTTTAATGAGTTACATACAAAACTCAATCAAACTACTTTCTTATCATGATATAAACTTGGTATCAAAACATTGTTAATAAATCAAATTTTAATATTATACAAGTTTTTATTATTTAAGGGAATATCTTTTAAAGATCCTGAATTTCCCCTAGTGTGAGAATTGTGACATTTGCTCTCTAGGCATTCCCTCTTCCCTAATGTATTTACCACACTTCAAAAAAGTATGAAAATTAACATAAATTACTCATTATAACATTGTCATTGCTCAGGCAAAGCATAATTTTTACAGCCTTCACTCTTAGTTGATTACAGAGCCATCAAATAAAAAATCACACCCACTTACTACACCCACTTGTCACATCCTCTCTTTTAGGAACTGTCAATAGTTCTCTCTTATATTTAGTGTTATATTATTTACAGTACTGTGCAAAAGTGTTAGAACAAGATAATATTTTGTCATTCTTTCCATTTTATGTGGCTAATTCTTCCATACCATTACAGAATGTAAATTGCAAATTGATGTTTAATACTATAATATTTATAACCAATGGAAAGCCAAGGTTTTAATCTATCAAATGACATATTATACTAAGTTGTTTTCCATACAGAAAATTGTCTGTTTTGCTTCCACTACAATTTTTTTCCCCATGAAAAACACATTGACAACCTTAGCTGAAATTTTAACAGCTCTTGTCACATAGTTAGGAAGCTAGAAAATCAGGATAGTTATTGGACATTGTCTGTTTGTTGCATGTTATTATTCTTTGTTCTTTTGTATATTATGTAATTAAATAAAAAATATTTAATGCAGTAGTACCATTAGTATAAAAAAGTAGGGTTAAGCTTCATCAACAGTTGACAGCAAAAAAAAGAAGACTCAGGTAAGTCATTTATTTCAAGTTTTTTCATGTGTATTCTTTATTTATTACAAAAGTAACTAAAATGGAAAAATTAGAAATTATTTAGGTTAGATAAGGTTATATTAGGTAAAATAAAGAAGAATAATAAATTTTTTTATGGTGTATGCTTGTGAACAGCTCGAGAGTAGCTTGTTTGTTATGTAATTCGATATGATAACATGAGCTCCAAATTTGCCAATTGTTTTACATGATTTATGGCAGAAATATTAACTTTCTTTTTAGACATGGTTCGAAGGGCAATAAAACAATAAAATTTAAGTATAAACAGATCTATACTCTTACGAGTTTAAGGCTACTTAGGGTAAGCAAATGGAGTTTCTCATTACAATTTAAAGTCATTCTAGAAAGAAAAAAGGAGCAGTTTGATTTATTTCTAATTTGTTATTGGTCAGTCAAATTAAGCACCCTCGTATACAGAGTAATGGTAGAGAAAATAACAGATAAAATATAATGTTTTAGAGAAAACAAACATTTGAAATGTATTTAGGTGACTTTAGAGATTATGCAAAGGAAATTCAAGATTTTTGAGATGAAGAAATTTATTTTTAATCTTAACATTAAAATCACTTTGCACAAGGATTAGTCAAAACAAATAGACTGCACTTCATTTGTTTTCAACTCATGTATTGAAGAAAATAATAAAACTGATAACATACTAAATCATTTAAAAATCTATTCCTGAGTAAATATTTCAAAAGCAAAACATTTAATATGCAGTTTAGTTATCTCTTTCAACACGAGTTCAATCTAATTGATCGACTACGTGACCACTTTGTACTTGTTATAGTTTCATTACTACTAATTTTTAATATAGTATGTGTATCTTCATACAATTTGGAAGACTTTCAGTAAAATTACAAGTTTTTTTTATATACAAAAAATCAGATATTTTTAATGAAGTACTTTCACTAAAGATTTGTCTGTGAATATACTGAGTCTTTTTTTAACTAGTCCAAGAGCAAAGTGATTTATGTCAAGATTAAAAATACTTTTCTTCATATCAAAAATTTCAAATTTCATTTGCATAATCTCTAAAACCTCCTAAATACATTTCAAATATTTGTTTTCTGTAAAACTTTATATTTTATCTGTAATTTTCTCTACCCTAATTCTATACAAGATTGGTCAATTTGACTGACCTCACAACCACCAAAAGAAACACGAAATAAATCTAAATTACTCTTTTTTCTTTCTAGAAGAACATCAAATGGTAACATGAAACTCCATTTGCTTACCCTAAATAGCTTTAAACTCGTAATGGTATACATCTGTTTATACTTATGTTTATTGTCCTTTGAACCATGTCTAACTGCTATTCGGGCCATTATAAGTTGTAAATCACTTGGGGCATGTTCAGCTCACATTACGCTATTAAATTACATTACCCACAAGCTACTCTGAGCTGCTCGTGTGTGCTGCTTGTGAAAATTTATTATATTATTATTATATATTTTCCTAATCTAACCTTAACTAACAAAAAGTTTCCTATTTTTAAATTTTAGTTACTTTTATAAAAATAAATAAGAATACACACGAAAAATATGTGTGTATTCTTGGCTATAAATATATATAGCCAAGGTATATAGTACTTATCTTGGCTATATATATTTTTGTCAATGTGCTTCCAATGGGAATGAAGCTTGTACTAAAAGAGAAAATGACAATTCTCCGTACAGAAAACAATGTAATATAATACGTCATTTGATAGAGGAAAATCTTGGTTCACTAATGGTTGAAAATAATTCAGTATTAAACATAATAGAGAACTACTGAAAAATCCTGAAAACAGAATGTGATAAGCGGGTGTAGCAAGAGGGATCTGATTTTCTATTTGATGGCTCTGTAACTAAACAAGATTGAAGGCCATGAAATTTATTCTTTGCCTGAGCAATGAAAACATTATAAGGAGTAACTTACGTTAAATTTTATACTTCTTGGAGAGGCGGTAGATAAATTAGAGAAGATGGAATGCCTAGAGAGCAAATGTCACATAAGGGAAATTGAGGATTTTTTAAATATTGCCTTACAAAATTAAGAACTTAAAACTTATTAAAATATGGATTATTAGCTATGATTCTATGCTATACTAATTGATATAACATGAACAAAAAGTAATTTAAATTTTGAATGTAACTCACTAAAAACCTCGAGACATGCACAGTAAAAGATGCCTGTAGAGAGAGGGTTATTAGGATAGTAGCTTAGAGTATTATTAAATTCATTTCATTTCTACAAATATATTTCATCCTTCATACAGGGTTTTGAAATAAAAAATATGTTAAATATATAATGCAGGGCAAGTGTATAATGATATATAGCAGCCTTTACAATTTCAGAGATTAATTTCATATCCTGACTAGTGGCAACCATTTCCTCACACTCTGGACCCAACATTTCAATCTAAAAATCCATAACAAAAGTAAAAATATAGTTAATATTTTCTTACCTCATCTGCTCCATGTTCTTGAAGTTCTCTGTAAAACTTTAGTGAAATACTCACCTATTGAGAGATAAAAGAGAAATCACTAGCAATCAAGTAACTTAGTGCTAAAATATCATAAGACTAAATATACTTCACTATGTTTTCAGTAAAAGTATCACATTTTTAATATTATAAGTAAAATCTAAGTGTAAGTCACATATAAAGTATACTAAGAACAACATAGGATTTACATAACTCATAAATCACAATACTCTATTAGTCACATCAGCTGCAACATCTGCTGGTCACTTTTAGATCTCTTAATTAATTTATATTGATTGTTTTGAAGACTTTATACTTTGTATAATTAGTATTAAATATAGTAAAGTTTTTCTGAATTCATTAAATACAAAGTGAATTGCAACTTGAAGTTATTTTGTGTAGCATGTCTAGGCTAGCCAAGTAAAACATTTACTCTTTCACTACAGCAGCTATATTTATTCCCAGTCATGGATGTCTACAGAATATTTTCCAGTGGGAGACAAAATCTAAATCAGCAAGGATGGACATGCTTTCACAGTTATGCCAAATGCCTCAAAGACAAACATGCAAAGCCCATGTTCCCAGCTCAGTATTTACTTTTTTGTAATTTTGTTATAATCTTGGGGTTTCTACAACACAGTTTCAAAGCCATTAAAATGGTGTTCATGATTTCACAATAGAATCCTTTATTTTGTGACATCATATTAATTACACTATTATAGCACTCAAAAATCACATGCATAACACTACAAGACCACACTGCTCTCAGATCTGTAACTTATTCATCTTGATATATTACATGCAGCTTCCAGTAACCAATACTTATTTTTGATAAATCTTGCAGCTTCTCATATTTACCACTTGGATTGTTCTGGAATGATAGGAAAGGAAACCTCTTGTACAAGTGAAAGCATAGTTCACCCCCCCCCCTTATTAATGATGTATTTATCATGTCTAAACAGCAGTGTATAGCTTCATAAGTAAAATAATGAGTCTCTATGAAATCCCAAGATCTATCTCAAAACTTCTGTGAAAGCATGTTTAACCCTTCAACGATGGGTACCACTTTCAACACTTTTCTGCAAAAGTTCCCATGTTACATTATAAGTTTAATTAAACACCTTTACTATCAATTTATGTGAACTAAATTAACATTATAATGTATGTTATGATTCAAAGTTTTATGTTATCTAAGCTTTAAGTCCTTTATTTCAAAAGAAACCTTTAAAAAACTACTTATAATTTCTGATAAATTTTCATGTGACCAAGGGCTACGAAAATTCTCTACTTTGGCACTCTGTATCTTCAATAATACAATGGCAGCTGTGTAGATGTACATCTAGACTATAAGATGCTTACATAACATTTTGACTCTTACATTTCAAAGTTCTCTGAATGAATGCAATTGAAACAAGTAATACTTTTTTTTCAACCCCAGACAGGTGACACACCCATCTTTTGAAACTGGTGTGCAGTTGTCATCACATGTGGACACAAAGAAAGATGATTAGTATGTATATGCCATAGATCCTATGGCACAATAAACACCATGATGTTGGCTCTATGGCACAACACAATGAAAGGATTATAGCAAACAGCTGATACTAGTAAGTGATTAAAATGCAACTATTATTTTAATATTTATTTTTGGTAATCATGTAGTTTCTTTGTGCTGCATGACAAAAGGTATGAATGAACAGGCATTCTATAGGGCATCACACATGATTCATTTCTGTGAATGGGCAGTCAATGAGATTTTAAGATGCTTTAATAAAATGGATAATATGTCTTGATTCTTGGCTCACAAGTTTTAGTTCATTAATATTTTTAATATTATATTTTATAATTTTGCAATCTTAAACAGTTTATCAACTATATTTTCTTCATGAAGAAAATAAAATAAATTTAAAATAGAAATGTACATTTTGTTATAGCAAAGCCACACTGGGCTATATGCGGTGTCAACTGGGGGGAATTGAACCCCTGACTGTAGCATTACAAATCCGAAGACTTACCACTGTCCCGCCAGGGGACTAAAATAACAAATAGAAGTAATTTATTAACTCTTTCAGTACAGGCTTTTGTGCTTGTTATAGCTTTCATGCTATAACTTTTAAATAAGTAAGCGAATGTTAACGAAATTTGGCAGATTATCAGTAAACGTTGCAATGCTTTGATAAGCAAAATATCTAATTTTTTTTTATCAAGTCCTAAGGTTTATAAAGCAATGTTTTCTCATGTGTATTTTTTTCTTTTTATATGTTGCCTATCTATCATGCAAAGTAATATTCATTTTAAGATTAAAATACTGTTATTTTCAGTAATTAATCTCTGTATGGGTTCGGTAGATTTGACTGATCTTGCAACCACCATAAAAAATTAGAAAATAAATATAAATTATGCATCTTTCATTCTAGAATAACACAAATTATAACACGAAAACATAAATAGCTTAAATCTCATAACATTATACATTTATATATATTTATTATTTTATTATATTGACCTTTAAGCCATGCCTGGTTGACAATACGGGAGTTCAAATGATGCGGCTCAGGTACACTCATGTTACCATATCAAATAACATAAAACTGGTCTGTACAAAGTAACTTGTCTTGGCTATGTTTCAGTAGACTAGTATTTTATAAAATACAGTCACATTTCAATTATTATACATTACATATGTATATAGATTATTACTATTTTGAAAAATTTTCTTAAACATATTTTCCCTAAAATATAGAACAGTAAATAAAGAATTAAAGCAAACAATTATCTCTTCTAGTTATGACCTTTGTACTCAGTTGCTGCTTTACGTAGGTTGCTAAGCCTTTAAAAATTTTGAACATGGAGGATATGAAACAAATTTTTTTTTAAATTAGGTTTTATATATACATTTGAATAACTAAAAAAATCATAAATTACTACATTAATACCATAGAATTCCACTGTAGTTTATCAAGCTTAGTAGCTATGATGTATTTTAGTCTAGAAAAATTTGAAATTTCGAGAAGACTAAAGATACACCCTGCCTCGTTGAAATATTGGTTGAAGAGAAAGAATTGGAGCCAAGTTCATTGAAATAGATGAGAAAGCCACTAGGGGGACATTCTGAGCTTCCAATTGGTTATTCATGTCACATATAGAAGTAAGTGTATATAAGGGAGCATTTCCAAAAATGGAAATAGGTGGGCGGGGTGCCACTGTGTTTGATTTATTACATGAGCAATATCTTAGCAAATTGAAAAGATAAGAGGCTCTTATTTTATATTCTAGCTTGTCAATATCAGTAATTTGAGTTTCTAATTTTTTCAAAACTGTAGACTTAGTATTTTGACTTTACAAACATTTAATTTGAACCAGTGCTGCATTCAACATACCATGTGACACACAAAAATCGATGTTTATCTGTGTTTTTTAATATTTTCTTTTAAATTAAGAAACTAAGTAATATATATTACTAAAATTTGAATGATAATCTACCAAACTTATTGACATAAATTCATGAAATAGTAGTTCAATACAATTTTGAATGTGAGTTAATAAATGGGATGACATGGCTTTTCACCCATGACTCATCTCAAGAGTTAAATATGACTCTCAACACTTCAATTGGCTCTTCAAGAATAATAGTGGCAAAACTTCAAATATTTTTAGCTGATCACAAAACTGAAGGCAAGTTACAGTATAACAGTAGTAAGCTTTTTATATTTCAAATGTAGATTAGTTTTATTCATTAAAACACTGATCAATCATTTGAATTTACAAGTATAATTTCACTAAAAACAAACTGAGAATATAGTATAAAGGAACATGCATGCTGCTTGCTGGTATATACATACACACATGCAACTCTCAGAGTACCAATCAGATGTTTACCATTTTCACTTTCACTAAAATATAACAAAAAAAAAAAAATTTGAAGTTGTGGAAGGGTATTTGATTAGTCAAAAACAATGTCAATTAACTGGTCATGTAATTGTCAAATATTTTATCTATTACTTGTTTTTCTTTTATCTGAACTGCATATATCAAACTTTACTTAATTTCAATTATTTAATCTTGTATGCAGGTTTGTCACCACTTCACTCGCAAGAGTCAACTTTTACTTTTTCCCATGGAAGAAAATATTAAGGTTATAACTTGACCTTGCAATTCTAGAAAACATTGAGACTTGTCAGGCTATTAAATCTGCACCAATTTGCATAAACATAGTGACAGCTGGGGCAGCATTTCTAAGCATGTAGCATTAACATGGTTGAACAAATACACATCCACCTTTAAGTGTTCCACCAGCACAACATTACTGAATACATCTTACAACAAAAAATTATAATATATGTATTGAATCTTTCCTCAGTAGTTGGGTCCTGCAACCCTTTCTAAGGTAGGCTGTTACAAAGCCCCAGATCCCCTATATACTGACTCAAGTTTAGTGTCACATTAAATGAATAAATAAAGATACAATTTACCTATACCAAAAATGTATTTCCAATAGGTACTTACCTCCGCTCATAAGATTAGCTATTTTTGTTTAGTGCTGCCCTCTATATGTGAATGCATGCCACAAATCTTCCGCTCCATCCCTGTTGGAATTACTATATTTCAACATGTCTCTCATGTAAATCATCATGCATCATTTCTTTATATCAATGTGATTCCCTCTACACTCCTCTACTAAACCTTCACCTCGAAGTTTGACAGAAGGTGTGAGCACTGGAGAAGTGTGAGAGAGGTAAGCACCTATTGGAAATACATTTTCAGTATAGGAAAATTGTAATTTCCAAAATGGTACTTACCTCCTCTAACAAGATTAGTTAGAATCCCACATTGAGAAGGAGGAGGGACGGGTGCGAGGGAATGAAAGAAGTACCCCTGAAAGCATCTGAAGGATACTCCATAGAATGAGAAATATACATCAGAAGATCAGAAGAGGGTAACAGCACCACTTCTGAGCCAGGCATACTATTTACATGTGTAGAATGTGCAAAGCATAAGGGCAGAAATTAAGAGGTGTAAAGTAGCTAGGGCACGGC